ATCCTTCACTCGGATCTGATGGTACCCAGACTTCAAATCAATCTTAGAGAATACCTTAGCACCTCTCAGCTGGTCCATCAAATCATCGATTCGCGGCAACGGGTACTTATTCTTAATTGTCAACTTATTTAACTTGCGATAATCAACACATAATCTAGAACTGCCGTCCTTCTTTTTCACTAAGAGAACTGGTGCTCCCCAAGGTGATACACTCGGCCTAATCATCTGTTTCCGCATTAGATCCTCAATCTGCTCCTTAAGCTCCATCAACTCTTTCGGCGCCATTCTGTAAGGTGCTACAGACACTGGCTCAGCTCCAGGAATCAAATCTATAGAAAACTCCACCTCTCTACGTGGAGGTATTCCAGGAATATCCTCTGGAAAAATCTCAGGGAACTCTCGTACTACTGGTATTGACTGAAGGCTTTGCTCCACTTCTGCATTCATAACTCCCAACAAAACAAAACAAGATACTCCCTCACCTAAGGATGTTTCTACCTGTCCAGTAGAAATTAATTCCACACAGCCTTGTTGCTCAGGAAAGATTAAACACCTCCGGCCACAATCAATTAGCACACGATTGGCAGTTAGCCAATCCATACCCAGGATTACATCTAACCTTGACATTGGGATACAAATAAGGTTTACTTTGTACTTTCGTCCCTCAATTACTATGGGGCACCTAACACAAACCGTTGAAGTCTTAATCGAACTTAAAAGTAGGTGTCGATACTACCAATTCACATCCTAGATCACTCAATGGTAACCCTAAGTTTCTCACACAAATGTCCACAATAAAAGAGTGCGTGGCTCCAGAATCAAACAATACAGAAAGAGAAGTACCTGCCACTACCGCTGTCCCCTGAACGAGATCTGTCGCCTGGGCTGCCTCTGATGCAGAAGTAGTGAATACACGTCCCTCTGCTCTCGATCTAATTCTCGTCGGAGTTCTAGTCGCTTTAGGTCTCACAGCATGTAAGGCGCTAGCAGAAGACGAAACTGCCCCACTAGGAGTAGGACAGTCCCTAGCAAGATGCCCTGGCTGCTGGCATGAGAAGCAAACTCTGACATCAGTTTGTGGGCACTGGCTCAGGTAGTGTGGCCCACCACATCTGAAACATTTGACAATCTGCGGCACTGAGGCTCTAGGGGTGGAAGAAGTTGCTCCCCTAGGCTGAAATGTAGAAGTAGCAGTCCCTATTAGCACCGGGGCTGATGCTGCCGATCCTCTCGACTGAGATGGTCGAGATTGTTGTTGGCGTAGCGACCGACTGTAGGGGCCTTTCTTAGCACCCTTACTTCCATTACCATAGCTACTAGCAGCTCTACTAGATGGAGCCTTCCCAACTCCACCAACATCCTCTGCATTAAGACTCTCTATAATGGTGGCTTGATCCACCAAGTCAGCAAATTCTGTGATCCTAAGTGGGATTAAAATCCTCTTTATGTCAGTTCTCAACCCGTCTGAAAACCTTTGACATCTCCACTCCTCCGAGGTCGGGTGAGAATAAAATCTGTAAAGCCGCTCAAACTGTATTGCATACTCATAGACTGATGAGTTTCCTTGCACCAAGTTTAGAAATTCCCGCTCTTTGGCAGCACGAACATGGGAAGGGAAAAACTTTCCCAGAAAACTACTTCTAAATACAGCCCAAGTGATGACTTCACCTCGGGCCTCCAGCATAGCACGAGCTCCGTGCCACCACATCTCTGCATCCCTTGTCAGCATATAAGTAGCATATAACACCTTCCTCTCCTCGGCGCAACCCATAGTTAGGAAGATCTTCTCAATCTCCCTGATCCAGAGTTCAGCAGCATCTGGTCCATCCACTCCCGTGAATTGAGGAGGATCATTCTTCCTGAACTCTGACAAACCATGGTATTCAGGAGGAGGTGCAGCTGAGGCAGAAGCTGCTGCTGCTTGTGCTGCAACAGCGGCTTGGTTTGCAGCTTGCTGCTGCTGAATCATATCTAGACTTTGCCTAACAGTGGCTGCCATAGCCTCCATGGCGTGAGCCATTTGGTTCATATCAGCAGGAGGAGGAGGGTTTGTAGCAGATCTCCTTGGTCTAGCCATCCTAATATATAGACTAGCTTAGATTACTAGCGTTTAACACATTCAGCAATACCACCACATAGCTATATTCACAGATTCAGCTTATAGTGATATATTCATATTTAGTATATCATAACAATTTAATCAGTTTAGCACTGAGGATAACATTATATCAGCATTCACACAGCATAGCAAACACACTTATCTCAACAATCATTTATAGCTTAGCTTAACAACTTTTTATTCATGCAGCATGAATCGCCTATAGCTCACCCCAGTATCATATACCAAGATTTCCAACATCTGTTGTGTCTGAGAACCGAGGTGATCAAGCTCGTTCCCTCACAACCTGATGATTAGAAATTATGATATATGATTCACAGCTAAAATTCACATGTCTAATATGCACAACTGACGTCTAACAACCTCACCCCGTAGGTTTACCTAGACCATGCTCTGATACCACTAAAATGTCACGACCCCTTTTATAAGGAACCGAGAACATTGTTTCTACATCACAAACTTATTTGAAATAAAGTATAGAAAATATAATTATGAAATTCTCTTCTCATTCAAAATAAAACAGAGTTTCTTACAACAAATATCCAACAGAACAACATAATATTACATTTAGTTCATAATATTCAAAAGTACCCAAAATTATACTACGTAGCTCCCCCTACACGAGGTCTCAAAATATAGGAAAAAGGACTTTGATGCAATATTACTCGACCCCAGCTTCAATCATTTCTTCACTGGCCCCTCAGCCTGTGAAGTAGATGCAACACCTGCTACATCTGCTCACGTACCATCGTACGATCATCGTAGTACACACGCACACAACGACATAGAAAGAAATGCAAGGGTGAGCTTACCAAACTTAAAATAAAATCATATATATAGAGCAAAATATTTCTCACAGCAATAATCCCATGCATTTCCAGCCCATCTAATGCACAGCATGAAAACGGTTTCCAACTGGTTTCACAGCCTAAGTAATCCAGAAGGAACCGAGCCGGTCAGGGAGCGACCCATTCCGGTATCTGGATCCAGACAGCACAGCACAGCAGCTCAACATGAACTTACCGTTACACGTCTACCCACCTAAACATGTAACTCGGCTCTATAATGATGCAAAACATATATCTCAGCATGATGCACACCGCTAAAATTATTTTAACAGCTCAGCTAAGGCAAGTTTAAGATAGATCAGCCAAAATCTCAGCATTTTAAATCAATTAACAGCAGTTACAGCTTAGAAAATAGCTTTTATTCAATAGATCTAACAAAATCATATCAAAACATCTTAAAATAGCATATTAAACAGTTCAAAACGTAGTTCATAGGTTAAAGTAAACTCCCCTTACCTCAGAACGACGATTCACACTAGATCTACTGAATATTACTTGTTTTATAGCAAGATTCACCGAAGATTTGGCTTTAGAACGGAGTTTCTCCTAAGAATACCATGAACTTCTATGAGAAAGAGAAGAAGAAGATAAACGAACGGTAAATCTAGCTTCAAACTTAAAGAAACTTACTTCAAATCCTTCAGAATAGACGTATGATCTCAGATCTGGCGAGAAATCTAAGTTTATGAAGGTTTAGTGTGAGAGAAATGGTGGTTTTTGGCCTTAGAACCTTTGAGAACCTTGGATAGGGGTGAAGAAATGAAAATTTCGTGTGAAGCCCCCTTTTTATAGAAATTTTTTGAAATTTACTGTTCACCGCCGGAATTTACTGTTCACACCGGAAACACTGTTCAGAGCACTATTCATGCCGAAAAATACTATACACGCACTGTACGCGTATGTGACGTTAGCCATGATGTCACTGATGACGTCAGCAGTCACTGTACATACGCGATTTTCACTGTTCATACGCGGTTTGCACTGTTCATACACGGTTTGCACGCGGTTTGCACTGTTCATAGGCGGTTTTACTGTTCATCCGACACTGTTCATACGGTACTGTTCACCTTTTTTTTTTTAAAAAAAAAAATAATTTCAAACTCCATCTAAATCTATTCCAATACCAAATAATCCTTCAATTAACATTGAACAAGTATAAAATATTATAGATTACTCAATAATAAATCTCTAGCCTGACATGAGTCATGACGTTGATGGACGCCGTTATGGACATATGACCACAAATTTGTCAGAAGCTGTTAACAAGGTATTGAAGGGAGCAAGAAACTTACCTATAACTGCTCTGGTTAAATGCACTTATGGACGAATGGTTGAATATTTTGTGAAGCGTGGAGAGGACACAATGAATGACTTGAACCATGGTAAGAGGTTTTGTTCAAAACTAATGCTAAAAATGCAGAAAAATCAAGAGGAAGCATCTTCGCATCAAGTGAGACGATATGATATAGCAAGAACAACATTTGAGGTTGAAGAGGCCTTTAATCCTATTACGCAAAGGGGTGGTAACAAATGGAATGTTGTTCTGTGTAGAAGATACTGTGAATGTGGGAGATTTCAGGCATATCGATTTCCATGCTCACATGTGATTGCTGCTTGTGCATCGGTAAGTATTGACTTTTGACAATATGTTGATGATGTTTACTCTGTGCAAAATGTTGTCCATGCATATTCATCACAATGGTTCCCTTTGGAAATGATGGTAATATTCTTACACGCAATGAGTGGAAGTTAGTGCCTGATGAGACAAGAATCAGAGGTAAAGGAAGACCAAAATCATCTCGAATTAGGAATGAAATGGATTGGGTTGAGTCACAAAGTAGAACCCGATGTAGTAATTGTCATCAAATTGGTCACAATGTACGTCAATGTACTTCTATATCACCTAATCAGTAGTATTGATGAGTTTATGTATGAGACAGCACGTCATTTGTTAACTATCAACATGTGGGTTTGTAGTTTATATTCAAATGCATTGATGTACTTTTTGTAATTATATTCAAGTGCACTTATGTACTTGTAGTTTATATCACCTTATTTCTCTTAACATGTAACATGAATCACATACCTGAAAGTTAATCGTACGATTTATAACATGAGTAAATTTTAATCGATCGATGATTAAAATGAATAAAAAGTACCATATGTCATAAAACATCTAGTAAAGGTACACAAAATATGTATAATTAGTTTATACAAAAACTCAAGCTCTATCCTCGTGTGGCTGGTTGGGCTGATGTGGGGTCAATATGCACTCCCTAGGTCGATCTCTGGCTCCACGATGTGGGTTACGACGAACCTCTGCAGGTGGAACATCTACCGTTGCTTCGAAGTCAGCATTCAAATCTATTCCCTGACTATATGAGGTATCATATGATGTCCCAGTAACAATATCTACTGCTGGTGCTGGTGGTGTCAAAATAGGAACATCATATGGAGGTGGCGTGAAGAATGGTGATGGACATGGGATATAACACTCTGTGGTCAGGAATGGTGATTGAGGAGTCTGTGGCGGATGCTGGGTAGCCTGAGATGAGTGAAAATATGTAGGTGCATTATAGGGCTGTGTGTGGAAAGGAAACTGTGAGGGAACATAGAATACTCCATCAGGACGCTCAGGTATCGGTGGAAGAGACCATTCTGTCGCATGTACCTCTGTGCGTCTACGCTGTAATCCCCTGCCTTCCTTACGGTTCCTCGATTGACCGACATCTACAACTGGATCCTCAGTATTGCCACTCTGCATTGGAGGATCAGATGAAGAAATAGGTTCCATAATGTGGTTCAAATCATTCTTCAAAACTAGCATAGATTGACACAAGTCTCGCATCTCATCAAAAGTGAATGAATCATGGCCATCTGTCATCAAGTAGTGGGCTCTCTCAAGTCCATCACCCTATACCACCATATATCATATATGTATGTTAACAATGTCATTACAAATACACATAAGTAAATGTAAAATATGTAATTTACACTTACAAGTAATGATGAGACAGCTGCGTCTCTTGTCATCCAACGTCTAGTGTGAGCTCTATACCACCGCATATAGTCAGAGTTAAAACTTAGCTGCGCAATGTGGGGGTCATTGGTCATGACCCACTCTCTCCTTCTCTCCCAAATGTCCAAAACATCTCTCAGCTTCTCTTGCCAATTCTCTGTTGCCTTCCCACGCAGAGTCAAGTCATGTAGTGCATCTGGCTGATAAGGAGCACGGGGTATATGTTGAACCATACCAAATTGTCGCATTACCCGATCTGGTTGGTGCCACTCACACACCTGAAAACATATCAGAGGCACAACAGCCCTCCACAAATTCATCCCCTCACGACATATAGTTGATAACGAATTAATCAAATCAATAGAATATGGTTGCCAAATTATCTACACACAATATACATCATATTCAGGTTTGTTTTCATAATGATAACTAAATTAAAATATGACTATAACATATGTCTAAAATGTTAATCCAAGTTTACCTCTTCACCACTAAGCATGTCAAATTTATATCTATAATAAGATATGTCTTTCCTCCCTTTCCTATTCCTTTGATTGGCCAACCACCTGCACAAAGATACAGATATTTGTTAACACATAAGGTATGTTAAACATATTAACGAAATAAATATTTAATATTACCTAGTAGCATATGGAAGATGGAGTCGTGTGTGAAGCGGGTTTCCAAGACCTAGAAATGGAAACCTATCCCATGCCCACATCACAAGTAATGCAGCTAATCCACCCAAACCATGTCGATCCATGTTGGTGGTCATACACAGCTCTCTATACAAATATCCCAATACTGCAGACCCCCAACTATATTCACCAGTGACAGCAAAATCCTGAAGTAAAGGTAAGTACCTCACTGAGACTCTACTGCTGGAGTGATCACTCAACATAAAACCCCCAATCAACCGCAACATATAAGCCCTAGCAAATCTGGTGATCTGTAAAGGATTCTGTGCATGCATCGCCACATGGGTAAAATGTTGGTCTAGCCAACTCGTCTTCAAGAAGCTACCAACAAAATCTGCACGTGATGGTCTAATCCCTAGGCTCTCCTCAACAATATCAGCATAATTAACTCCAATAGGTGCTATCACAGGTCTTCCATCAATTCGTAAACCTAACAACACAGATACATCCTGCAAAATGATCGTACACTCGCCTGAAGGCAAGTGAAAAGTGTGTGTCTCTGGCCTCCATCTCTCTACTAATGCAGTGATCAACGGGAGGTCTAATGGGAACTGACATACGTGAGCAATCCCAGTAAATCCTGCAAGCTCTAAATGTGGAAGAATCTCCTCTGGAACACCATCCAAACCAGCTGGAATAAATTGACTCTTCCTAACCTTCAAAATAGGATGATCCCGACCATCCCAAATATGTTCAGACACATTAATATTCTGTAAGCGCAATAATGAAGGATCATCTGGTCCAGGATGAATAACCCTATTCTGTCCTGAAGATGAAGCCATCTACACAAAATATAAAATATATCATGGTCAAAATTTTAAACTTTAATATAAATTATACAAAATAATTTCATATCATGCATCAAGTATAATACCCCAAACTGTTCTTTCTTTATCACATAATTTAAATACAAAAACTATTTATAACATTTTAATCATTGTAATACAAATAAAATTATTCATAACCTTTAAGTTGTCTTTTTAATCATTGTAATATAAATAAAATCAAAAACAATTATTCATAACATTTTATTCATTTTAATCATTGTAAATCAAATACAATAAAACTGTTCATTACTACATTTGAATATTTTATGAATTTTTTTCCTAGATTTAACATGTCTTTTTAAACTTAGTACATCAAAAGAAATTAATATATTAATTAAAAACTATAAACATTCAAAATTTTGTAGTACTTCCCATGATAGATCTTATATCATACAATAACAAGATTAATTAATAAATTGTTTGTTTTAAATTATTTTTTGTTCATCATTTATTAAATTATATAATTATCAGTAATTAACTTAAACTAATTACAATCATTCTAAAAATTTATATTCTACATTCAAATTTTTTTCTTTCTAAATTAAATTATATAATTATAAATAATTTATTTCAACTAATTTATATATCTCTGTTTCTTTATATTAGATAACTAATTTTCTTATCAGTGTTGTTAATTTTAATACTTTCAATTTTTAATATAATTTTTTTTAATTATCTAATTTTGTTCTTTAATTATAAATAAATATATCTATTTACGTATTTTAATCATAATTAATTTAAATAAAGAATTTATGTTATAAGTTTTATACACTGTTTTCTAATTATCATTTCTTATATAATTAATCAACCAATTTGATATAATTATTTTCTAATTTTCTATTCTAAATTTTATTTAACTATTTAATATTTTTTTTAATTTTTTAAATTATTTTTAAGTTGTCTTTTAATTTACACCTCAATTTAGTAGAATAATTCTAAATGCAGCTTAATTTTTAATATAAACATCACTATAAAAATTTAATTTTACAAATTTTGTTTATTTTTAAATTTCTATAAAATTACCAAAATTATTTTTATTATATTTTTAATCTAAATATTACTATCAGATTTTTTCTACAAGGTAAAAATGTAATAAATTTAGTTCTCATATTTCTATTATTAATATCAATTTTAAAATTAAAATTTATCTCATTAATCAATTTATTTTTCTTTTTTCCTAAATTTTTAATCAAAATTTTACGTTTTTCTATTTAAAAAAAATATACAAAATTTTTTCCATACCTCAGTTGCAGATTTCAGGCGCCGGAGATGGCGGTTTCCGGCGAGTAAGAGTTCCCTGGAATAGCGGCAAGTTTCCTGCACTATGGTCTCTCTCCGACGACCTCCTCTTCCCCTTTAACACTGACTGTGTAGCAGATTTAAGTTCTCCCAACCTCCTCCAAATTTTAATTCAAAAATATCTTCACTCACTGCAAATGAAGGGAATGTGAATACGATTCTGCAACGGATGAAGATTCTCACTCAAAAATCAAGCTAAAACAACTAGAAATTTGCTACACACGGAGCTGTGAACGGAAAAAATGGAGGTTTGCAATCGCAGAAGGGGGAGAAGGGAAGGCCTCCACTGACACGTGGCCCAATCAATAAGTTTCGTCGCTGACTAAGACGAAATCCACTATTCGTCCTGATCAGAGACGAAATATGTTAATTGGCCCACGTGTCTGGAGGCGGGAATCTTTAATTCAAAATTTTTCCCGTTTTCGTCTTATTCTTATACGAATTCATGTTACACGTGTCCAAATTTGCAGCATTTTGTCCCTTTTCTAGGCGATTTCAATAAATAAATAATAAAAATTTAATTTCACCCACTTTATATACGAATTCAGAGCTGACGTGACCAAAAAAGACCCCAAACAGGGAATAAGTTTTATTTTTGTTTTAATTTGATAATTATTTTTTAAAAATGTCTTATTTTGATCATTAAGCCCCGCGTATGTCGTTCATAAATAGAAAGTCATTTTTTTTAATTAATCAATATATACAAAGTGGGCCAAACAAGAAACAGAAGATGATCAACGGCATTTCATTTTTAAAAAAAATTAACGGCTTGAAAGCCGAAGTCCACCATTCAAAATAAGTGATATTTTGTTGACCGAAAATAAATTGAGATTTGCTATGTAACATGCTGAAACAGTACTATGTCAGAAAAGGCCTGAATCACAAAACCAGGTCCTTTGTCAATCAAGCATTTCCTCGACAAGTGACATGATTACGCCAAGTCACGCTGAACTCGCTAAGGAGCAAAACTAAAGCCTGAAGAACTCACTGAAACAATTCTTTTTGGTTTTGTTGAGACACCAAATGCAATTGTGCAGAGCCTACAGACAAAAACAGATACCATATTTTACACATTTGACTTGTATAGCCCTAGCAGCAAATGTTATCTGTAAACACGAGAAACAATTATTAAATTAAAATATACATGTGCCAAAATAGATAAAAACAGATAAGCAAAGTAAAGGAGTGGAACATACACGAGAAGCAACACATGGGAAAAACAGAATTATTAAAGAAATTACCAGCAAAACCACCTCCATTCTCTCGTTTGAAATAATATCCCTGCATCCTTTTCCATGCGAACTTTTGTAATACCAAACCCAAATCCTTTCCATGCCAACCCTTTATAATACCAAACCCCCGCATCCTCCACCTAATTCCACGGGAATATTCCACACAGTAGCAATTGGCACATCAAATGGTGAGACCATATAACCCTTGTAAAATCTGGCAGAAAAAATGCTTTCTATCAAACTCGGAGTTCAAAGTCACCAAACAATTAAGAGAAACACCAAGTTTCACATCAAACGCAATACACGAGTTATCATATTTGCTCGATAGTTATGCTACAGCAATCATTTACTTACATGCGCAAGAGAAAATCATGAAATAACCGGAATCCATCCAAAAACTCAAGCTCTTACACAAATATTTCTGAATCCGATGGTTTCAAGAACATAGTGATATTAACTAATCGACAACTGCATAACAGAGATGTTGGAACAAAAATCTATGTATGAAAAGTCGAAAACATTCCTCATTAAAATGGATTTCATTCACCACTGTGGTAAACAGTAAACATCTCAATTTTTTTAAAGAAAAATATTAACTTAAGGAAAGTAGCAAGTTTTTAGACTTTTATAACTTTAATGTAATAAATGTACTTATATCAATCAAATTTATTTATTTTTTATGCTTAAAATCAATTTTAAGAACTGAGATTAATAAAACACTTTTAATGGAAAAATAAATTAGTTAAGTGCAGGGACGATAAAGAATCCTGTTGTTAGCAGAAGAACTAAATAGAAACAACCAACAAAATATAGAAAAAAACCCATTTCATGAAATTAACTAAAAGTAGCATCAGTACATAGCGATCATTAGTTCTCCTCACAATTCACAGGTTCTTTACATGCTAATCAGAAGAAGACTTGGATATACACTTTAATCCCTTGTACATAAATGAACCTGCAAACTTAGGGATCTCCCTTATCTATTTCTGAAAGACCTACCTAACCAAACCCATCCCCAGAAGGAAAAGAAGGAAGGAAACTTAGGTCCTACGGTCTTTGTTATGTCCATGAGATATGACTAAGAAGAACAAAACCACTAGTCCTCCCTGATCTTCCATATTATCAAACCATACAAATTTTAAAAAGAAGACGAAATAAAAGTAAACTACTAACCTACAAGCCTACAAATACCAACATTTATGCATTAAAAAGTTGAAGAATGTGTTCCATTCTAGCCTCTCCTCTGAAACCCTATTCAGATGAACAACTTAAACTAACGTGCGACAGACATATCATCGTCCCTGGCAGTCTCTGAGCTTGTCCCAACTACCTGATCCTTGCATTCATCCTTCTCGGTTAAGACTAGGACATTTGTATTTTCATTTGTTCCTCCTTGAGTCTTTGATACTTGATCCCGGCATTCATCCTTCTCTGTTAAGACTAGGTCATTTGTATTTTCATTTGTTGCTCCTTGAGTTTTTGATTCATCGTTTCTGTCCAGCATTTCAAAATCACCACTCTCTTTTTTATCCATAACATCATTTTCTTTAGCAAAAAATTCATCTGGCAAATACTGCTGTGTCGCCCCTGCATCCTTCTGCACATCCTTCTCCTTGACTTCACTAAACAAAAAGTCACCTTCCATTTTGTTACCTCTGATCTCATCCTTCTTTGCAGTCGCCTCATTCGGAGCAGACCCTTCCATGAAAACATCATCTACACCTTCAGCCTCCGACACTCTCTCATTGTCTAGCTTAGTATTAGCCTCAATATTTCCATTCCTATCACTTTCCATCATTGACTCAACCATCTCCGAATTGTTCTCCACTCCCATAGCAGGAACATCTGATCCCCCGTCGCTTTCATTATCGGACCCATTCTCCACCACTTCCTCGTTGACATCTTCCACAACCTGGTTCTGCCTCTCAAGAAACAGTAACCTTCTTCGCAGATCGCCCAACTCTCTCTCCATTAGAAAAAGGCGCTCCTTCAACGTCAAATTCTCTTCCTCCAACTGTGCAATATGGGAATCCTGATCATCGACCCTATTCTCTAAGACATTATTATAGTCAACTCCATAATTCGGGTATATCATCTCAAACCGACTCAAATCATGATCCAGCCTCCTCTCTACCTCCACGTGTTCCTCCACATCACTCTCACTTGACCCACCGTCCTCTTCATCCTCGTCATCGTGAACATCAGCTTCATGCCCTGGTGATCGAAGCCTGATCAGACCCTTCATTGACCCATATCCATCAACACCCCACTCTTCCTTTGCCATATCCCCTAACACCTCCCTCGATGGGGAGAGTATAGGTGTAGGAAGCACTGCCGGGGTCACAGGGCAAGGCGACACAAGCGATGCTATACCACCAGACTTCTTGGCACGAATAATAAACGATGTCGTATTCCTAGGGGCATAAGGAGCAAATCTAGTATTAAACTTCTTCTTAGGATAGAACTTACGTGCCTTTAAACGATTTTGCGATTGCAACTCGTGCAGAGTAGGGGGCTGGTAACCGATACTGCCGTTTGGAATACTAAGAGGGATAGAATTGGGTTTTTCCATTCTTCTAGGGTCCTTGCGCTTGTCAGTGACCTTCTTCCCCTTCCAGTTGCTTCGTACCGGCTTGGATGAAGGGTAATTCAGTTTCATAGGGTTCTGAAATTTCATGTTGGGATCAAGCGGAGGCTGTTGAGACCAAACCTTATATCCCCGATTCATCATCGGAGGCTGAGTCTGGTTCATCATAATCTGAGATGTCTTCATCTGAGGCTGGGGTTGCTGATTCATTACCTGATTGTGTGTGAGCATCTGAGGCTGCTTAATTACCTGAGGCTGGCTCATCATTTGCACCTGATTCATCATCTGAGGCTGGCTCATCTGGTTCAAATTCATCATCATCTGCGATTGATCGTTCATCGTAACGCCTAACGGTTAGGATTATACCCTTGCAATTTCAAACAGAATCGTTAAGGTTAAAATAATATCGCCGATCACAAGAATCGGCACCGAACAAGAAATCGAAACCCTAAATTCCCTTTCTCTCAAATTCGGAACCGAGAAGATTAGGGTTTGATCTTGAAAGAATCGACCTAAGGCTGAAATCAAATTCTTCTTTCGAGATTTTCACAAATCTCTGAAACCCCTGATTCTGATTTCTTGATTTTCTTTTCTCGAAATTTTCTGATTATCGGTGAATATTTTGCTTGTGTGAGGTGATTATGCGAACCAAAAGGATCTATATACTGGGTAAGGAATAAATTGGACGGTCAGATATTGATTTGATAAATGGACGATTTAGATTGCAGATGCGTTATGAACACGTGTCACACCTTCCCGGAAAGGTCGATCATCGATTTCCCGTTTCTAGGTACGACTAGTAAGACCCTTGCCCCTGATGTTTTCATAAACCATTTTTTGCTTTGTGTTTCGTTTTATTTTTGTGATCTTAATTGTTAAAAATATTATTATACTGTTTATTAAACTGATATTATTTAAAAATAAATAATTATATTGAACAAAGAATAAGAATTAATCTTTCTCTTATCTTGCCAATTAGTTTATCTTGTAGTAATAGTAAACCTTATCTAAAACGGGTTGAAATTTTATCACTAATATGAAGAGTTCGTTGATATAAAACACCTCCAAGGATTCTTCAGTCATTTTTATGACTTCATAACATTATCTTAAGTTAGAACTATGTTTTTAAAATAGTTTATAATTTTTACGAGTAAAAATTTTGGGTTTAAATATTTTTTTTAACGAATTTAAAATTTTAAGAATTATAATGAAAATTTTTAATAAATTAAAATAAAACAATTATAAATTCTAATAAAAATATAGAATTTGAATTTCTCTTTAAATTTAAGTTGAAAGCTCAGGTTAAATAAATAAATCACTGAATAATATCACGTGGAGTTTATAAATATATTTCAATCACATAACCAAAAAAAAATGTAAATATAAAATATTAAAAAGAGAAAATGTGTGTGATTGTAGTTAAATTTAATTTTAACCATAAATATTTTAGTTTTAAAGAAAGATGCTAGTTAAATTTGACTTTTTGAATCAGAACCAAGTTTGAAATGTTTAAACAACATATTTTAAAACGATATAATTAATTAAAAAAATAATTACTTTGTCCAAATATAGTTTTTAAAATCTAAATTATTCAAAACTTCTTGCAATAAATATATATAATAAAATCAAAATAAATATATAAAAAATTGTAATATATTTAAATTTAATAAAATAATAAATCTTTAAAAATAAATATTACATTGTATTAAATAAAGATACACAGTTAAAAAAAATCAATGCATAAAAAGCCGTACATATAATTAAAGAAAAAAACTAATATATATAAACACTGGTATTTAAAATAATTCTTAAAAATACTCTTATCTAAAAATTAAAATTCATAAATTATATGTTTAATTTTTTATAGTTTCTTCTATAATTTAAAAAAATATTTTATTTATTCTCGTTTTTTATTTAATTTTTATAATAACTATTGGTATAATAATCTTCGTATCTTTATCCATGTTAATATTTTTAACTAAGTATTCTTTTAAAAAAAATTATACTGCATGTCAATGCTCATAATCAAACATCATAATCTTTTATGATAAACAAATTTTAACATGAACTTATGATAATTTATTAATCATTTAACAAAACGTTTATTTTATTTGTATGTAACTTTATTTCTTTTTTAAGGTTGCATTCTTTATTATAACATGCTAAATTTGAATATTAGTTTTATTATTAATTTGAAATGTCACTACTATAGCATAACAGTACAGTGTTAAGAATTAATATCCATATCAATATCTCTGTTGACATCTAAAAGTAGTAAATTAGACTTTTACTGTTTTTGCCACGTATCAACGCATTTCATGAAACGTCATGTTCGTTTATTTGTTTTTTTTTTATGAATTTTAGTATCTTTCAGTTTCAACATAAATTATGGATTTTTATTATTTGTTTAATGCAAAGTTAATTTTGTATTTATGTAACGTATTTGTTCTCTTTCGTCCATAACAATACAAAATCGTAATGATAATATAATAATTTTGAATAATAATTTCATTTTTATTAATGTAATCATATAAGAAGAAATATAATTATAGTTATCAGTATTAATATTTATATTTTTATCTATAAAATTTTAATAAAGAAAGATTACAAAAATAATATTAATGTCACGTATCACCGCTTTTCATGAAACGTGGTGCTCGTGTAATTATTATTATTATTTTTTTGACGGATGATAATATCTTTTAGTTTTTAGCATTGGTTGATGACAAATTACAATTCATTTGAAATAACAATTTAGCTCTGTGTTTGTGTAACGCTTTTTATTTTATTTTATAAACTATTACAGTGAAATTCATTTTTCTATTGTGTTGGGTTGTGATCTATTTGATGAACATTAAAATTATTATTCTACGAGTCTTTCTTTTATTTTTTTGATACTTGTGATCTATTTATTGGTTGTTAAGGCTTTTTTATTTTGTTAAATTTTTTCATTTACTATAATGACATTTATTTATTTTGTATATTTATAATTATATTAGTGTTAACAATTAACTTTTTAACAGGTAAAAAACAAGTGATTGAAATTTATACTATTTTAATTAATTTTTTATAATATATTTGTAATAAAATTAGTGACGTGAATGAATAGTTTTCAAATAAAGAGAGAGAGAACAAAAAAATGGGTTGCAGAAAAAACAATAAACATAGACAAAGATTTTAAAAGTAAATTTAATGAAATAACTTGAAATAAATATATAATATAATTTTAATTAGGATAATGTCTTTGTCAATTTTCTTTTTATCTGGTCTAACTTGTATATAGAATGCTGATAGTATTTTAAGATAAAAAGTATAAATACTTAGGTGAATAAATATTTTGTCCTTAGCCTATTGTTTGAATATTTATTTATATACAAGTACAAAATAGTTGTCATAAACTATATAAAAAACATATATGGGTAACTATTATACACATTTTCCAAAGTTTAAGTCATATGTTTCTACTTATAATTGTTAATAAACACTTTTAATATATTAAAATTTTTTATACAAATTTTTGGTATTTTTTTAAGCTAATGTACTTTAGATGCTTTAAAAATAACTTTAACCAACTAATTTATTTTCTGATAGATTTAACCAATTTATTTGACCTATTTGTCAATTAACTTTGACATTCTTGCACTTTGCATTTTTATTTACAAAATAATCCAGGTGAAAATTAATAAAAAATATTAATCATTTTGACTTAAAAATCAAAATTTTAAAACTATATATTGCAAAAAAAAAAAAAAAAACTTGTTTAAATGATATTTAGAGTACGTTTGATTTTTTTTTAAAAGAGGTTTTTTTTGTTATAAATATAGTATATAAAAAACTCTTTTTAAAAGAGAAATAAAATGTACCCCTAATTTTTATAAATATTTACACTTTTTTTAGTTATAAATTTTAAAAACAATTGTTAAAAAAAAACTTAAAATCTTATCACGAAAGTTATATTGTAAAACTTTATTTGAAAATATCCGCTCCAACTTAAAATTTAAAACTATTATTCTAAAAAAAAGTATTTTTTAACACTTAAAAGTTAATTTTCAACCAGAAAAAATTAAAAAACTTTTATCAAGTAAAAAAATATTCTTTCAATAAATAATCCTAACTTGAAAAATTTATATTTATTCCTAAAAAATAATATTAATATACATACAATTATATTTTATTATTTTTACTATTTATGTCATATATTATAATTTTCATTAAATATCACGCTTCTAAATATATTTGTATGTACTGTAAATGTTATATATTTATTAGTTACGATTATTTATAATTCATGAAGTGAAAATTTAGGTGAGTGTAAGAATTAGATTTGTATATTATTAAATAACATGATATACTATTGTTAAAAAATAAAATTTATATTTTTAATTAAAATTAGTTTAACAAGTTCTGTTGTGATAGTTTATTTTATAAGTTTTGGTACTTTCTTTTTTATCTTACTTAATCACACTAATTAACATGAAAATATTCAAATATACTAAGTTATAAAACTATTTATTATACATAAGTTGAAAATTTAAAGATAAAATTAACTTTTACATGCTTATGAATTACATGTCATGGAAATTTAATTTTCTATTACATCATTTATTATTTTTATTATATTTCTGTCTTTTCACTCAATTTAGAGTTATTGGTAGATATGGAATAACATTTTTCCTTAATTAAAGAGGAAAGAAATATGTGTTTGAATGACACACGCGAGAAAGAGAGGACATGAGAATATAAATATTAATTATTTAAAAAAAGCCGTTAGGGTTTCAAATTCGAACGAGGAGCCGAATGGCATAATCGTTATTTGGACAAAAAAAAAGCGCATTTTCTTTGAACCAAAGTCCAAAAGCAATAGGACCCACTGCGTGACTTGGCTTGACGAATGTTTCACTCACTATTCTCGAGTCCAACAATCGTTACGGTTCTCTTCCCACTTCCCAAGCTTACAAAATACAACATTCTTTTTCTGCTCTGCCTTTGCTTCCCTTTGCAAACACTCACTCACACTACACCTGCCATTAGGTTAGGGTTCTCGCTCTCACCGCCACCGTTCTTTCCGCCTCTCATTTGTTAGCTACATTTCTCAATGCAAACTATTTCTTCGCATTCTGTCTTCATGCATTGATTATTCATGGAAGGTTTTTTGCTTTTGTTTTTTTCGTCCGTTGCAGGAGTTTCATCTTTCGGTTCGTGCTTGTCTCTGCTTTGTTCATTGTTGATATTGGTAAATCGAAAGTGAAGTTTGATCTGTGAGAGGATGTCGTCGAGAGCGGGGCCATCGGAACCGCCGGGGCCGCCGCAGAGGCGGATCACGCGGACGCAAACTGCTGGAAACCTTGGAGAGGCGATATTTGACAGTGAGGTTGTGCCTTCGTCTCTTGTCGAGATTGCACCTATTCTTCGTGTTGCCAATGAGGTCGAAAAGACTCATCCCAGAGTTGCTTATCTCTGTAAGTTCGTTTTATTCTGCATTTGTTCAACCGTGTGCGCTCTGGTTGGTTGAAACTTGTGTGTCTCCCTTTGCGTGTGTGTGTTTACGCCGAGATGCCATTTGTGGAGCTGTGGTTTTTCTGTGTTTACTTGAAGCTGGTTCGTTAATTAAAATATAGTTTCAGTTTT